AAACCTACATTATTGTTGTCGAACTGACCATGTAATTTTGTGTTGTTATGGATTGTGCTAGCTTCTATGTTTCAAAGCTATACCTTTTGGACCGGTTATTATCTCTTGAGCATTCATTTTGTAAACTAATGTAATAACATTAGTATGTGTGGTATTTTACACAAATTATTTTTAAAATCTTCAGAAATCAAGCGGTTTTGGCCACCCCTTCGATCGCTCGAAACTCTTCATGATTGCCTACCATTTGAGGAGTTCGATCGTTTTCTAGCTCATCTACTTACCGCTCGAACGCCACTCCCATCACCACCAAAAACCCCACTTCCTATGAATGAAGGTTGCCGTAAGTTTGTTTATGTTTCAGCTTAAATCTCTGTTTAATTGACCCTATTACAGATCTACCTGAAGCTAATCTAAAAGCGTTACGGGAGGAGGTGGAACGTCTTAAAGCGCTTGGAATCAACGACAAGAAGTTATTTTAGAATGAGCGCGCGTTGGAACCGGGTTTAACGGTATTTTGTCTCATTTGTACTGTTAAGCACTTAAATATTCAAGATCAAAATTGCCTATAAAGGCATTTTATGTGATCTTGATCGTATTAATATGTTTTGCATGCATAATTTCTTTTCCTTTTTCCTTTTATGGTTTTCTGATTTCCTCTTCATATTTTCTACTTGTGATTTTAAACCGGTTCATAACTTCAAAGACTTTGACGAACCTCATTTTTCCCACGCATAATGTCTGTACCCTTCGGTTTCCGTTGAGCTTGTAATACTGCAATTGTACCCTATTTACGCGCTTCGAGGTTACCTCGCCATTCTTGTTATTTGTAAGATAGGTTATTTGTGAAGGAGTCTTACTTGAATTTAATTGAAATTTATTGAACAAGTTGTAAAGAGCAGGGAGGTTACTGTGGATTTAAGGAGATCAAGATCGGGTCATACAACAACTGTATACGAAAATACTCAGAATAATCTTGAAATTCAAAAGACCTTTTCTAAACATCTAGGATAATCAATGACCCGTATGCTGGAATTCGCAGTTTTTTCTACGTTCCACTTAGTGTCAAAAAAGTACTGGACGGTCACAAAGCATATGATGCGTCTCTCTCCAAACCATCACATGTCCACATTTTCTTTCGGATTTGTTGTATGATGTGTAAGTACACTAAGTGCACTCAACCTGCTTACTCTACTCTCACGATTCCCTGTTTCCTTGTTGCTGTCCAAGCAACTCTAGGTAGCATTGGGTGGCAGTCAAGATGAACGATAGCTTGCGCCAGCCGCAAG